CCATTAGGGATTGCAATATCGGACTAAAAGTTCAATACCGGTATTCGGTATTTTTTAGATCTTGATACCGGTTTTAATACCGGTATTAGAAATTTTAGAAAAAGAAAGAAAACACGGGTGTTTCTTTGTTTTATTTGCCACTTTTATTACGGAATGTAAATATTTTACAAAAAGTAATCTGTAACTTATAAATTATAACAGTACATTAAGAATCACAAAAAGTTTAAAGGAACATCTTTTTTTTATTTAAATCACTAATCACTATGTGGTACTATTACAAATGTTCGAAATGTGAGCCTAAAAAGCATAATTCGTCAATTGTACTATCATAAAATTCAGAACGTAATTTTGTGCAAAATTTACCAACTGTCGAAAAAACGCACTTTCGGCATTTACGCTAGTTAGTGGTACAGTTAGTAATGCACGATATACTTTTTCCAAGCATTTACCTCTAAGTCCTTAATCTTTAAATAAATCGATTTCTCATCGGATGGTTTTAGATATAGCTGATTTCTGGATTATATTTCGGTTTGCTGAAATGTTTACAAATATCGCTAATTCTAATTTTGATTTAACAGACAATTCCTTTTCACAATCGACATGAGTCATCATTATATTCGATAACTGTACCAAATTCTTCTGAATGTGGATAGGTTTGTGGGTCAACGATTTTAGAAAAAACTTACTATAAACTTGTTCAAATTTGAATTGGAATGTCTCTTTCCTTCTTTTTCATTTTCATTTTTAAAGTCATTATAATTATGTACATACAGTAAGACATTTTCTATTTCGGTATACAAATACAACCTTGTTTTAACAGATACAGAGCGATACACAGAATCCTGCGAGTGTGAAGTATCGCTCTGAGCTGTAATAGGATAGTTTTGGCCCTTCTCCTTGGATGATTCACGTATTTTATCACTTCTCTTGGTTATACAATGCAACTATGTATTCACAATCTAATTAATTTAACCCGTTAGGAAGACATAAAAACAAAAACGTATACTGTTTTGCAATGTTGGTGATCCCTGAACATATAGTGGAGACAATTTCAAAAAAAAAAAAATTCTACTAAATACCTAAAAACTGGTATTTAAACTTGTGAATACCGGTATTACAAAATTGTGCAAATAGCTCACAAAATACCGGTATTCGGTATTACAGTATACCGGTATTACAATCCCTAACAGCAATGAATACGTTAAGGTATCCGACTACGTTCGGAACCATGATTTTAAAAAAGCGCATAAATGGATAATATTCATGATATTTAGTGTCACTTAGATTAGAATACATGTATAAAATTGTTTTAAGGACATTTTGACAAAAAAAAAATTATTTAAATACAATATTTTGGCAAAAAATTAACCTAGAATAATCTTTTTTCAAAATGTTCTCCTTTTGTGAAAAACGCTTCTATTATAATAATATTTTGCCTGTATGTAGCTCAGACCTCTATACAGAAGCTCAACTATGTGATTTTTGAAAAATTCACATTATTTTCAGAGTTACAGCCCATTGAAATAATTATTGGCGTTTTTTTCTTAAAATTTCTCCCCTCTGCTGTCGTAAAACATGGATAAACCCACTTCTAAGTTACATATTTCAAAATTCATAGTTGAGCATCTGGAGCAATTCGGATGACGTGGGATAGTGAGCTGCATTAATCATTTCATTTTCGTAGTCGAAATCTGCATCAATGATATTTTTTGAGCTTTTAACTTGAACTTTCATTTCACACCCCCTCTTAAATCGCACCTAAGCACGTGACTGTTGTTTTCATCACTTCGTTCATTCCCAGAAGGAAAATCTTTTAGAGTTAAGCAATTTTCTTTTCGTGTGAAGAGGGGGAGGGATGCATGAAAATGCGTAGTAGTTGGCCGGGACCATTGTATTATTTTGAGTTAAGCGATATTACGTCTTAAGCATTTTCGCGTTAAACGTATTTCCACTGTAAATTACGCTCATAAAGAGAAACTTAAATAAAAGCAGTTAACATTCTCGCTTGCTTTTTAATGTTTCAATAAATAATCAGATCTCCGAGAACCAAGTGGAAAACAAGCAAATTCAATAAAGTAAATATTTTCACTTCTTCCCAGAGTGATATATTTAAAAAAAAAATGTTAACGTAAAAACCCGCTTATAACGCGCTCTTTTAACACAAAAAATAAAATCGAAATTTAAGGGGTGCACATATACTCCGGATATAAAAATGATTGCTTTAAAAAATAAAATATATATATACATATGATCATTAACCCGCGGTCACTCGGGCCTGATTTTGCTACCGTCGTTACTCGCGGGTTGTAGAGAACACCCCAAATTTTTAACACTTGTATTTAATTATGAAAATAAAATTAAGTCACTATGATACATATTTATAAAGTACAAGATGTGTTTTGTATTATACAAATAAAATTATTAAATTTGTTGCATACAAATCAGACTAACATTAATTTAAACAAAACATACAAAATTTTCATTTTAAAACAAATAATTTTATATTTTTTCATAAACCAGTATATATAAAACGTATACCAGTAATAAATATTCTTTATAATTAATGAGATAATTATAGTAGAAAGTAGAAAAATAATATTTTAATCATTTTCCAAACATTCAGAGCAGACTGTATACAAATGCTCAACTTCTCGCGGGAGTTCTCAGCCCCCCAGAGAAACTTTTGAAGGTTATTACATTCCAATCATTCAAGGAAGAGGAATTGCATCAGGCCTGAAGTTTCAATGACCTAAAATGTGCAGTTACAGAAAAATTCGTGGTTCTGCGCATTCTTTTAAAATCCTGGGAGGATTTTCTTGTTGCTGGGGTGTACAGAACACCCCGCGAGAGTGATATCGCGGGTTAAGAAAATTTCACTTCTATATATATCGAAATACTGCTTATTTTAAATAAATGAATGAACTTCATGAACTTTAAGAGTTGCAAATCTGGAAGTATACTATTTTTCAAAAGCATATTATAACACCTCGAATAAATGACTTAAAAACATAAGAGCACCACGTTAGTACATTTCAGGCTTCTTCGCAAAAGAAGGGGGTGTTGGTTATACGGCTGTGCGCATTATACGCCGGAATTTACTGAACTGTGTGTATATTATATTTTCGGTATTCAGCATCTGTTTGAATGGTGGAGGTATGGCGACAGAACAACAACAAGTACTGACCAGATTTAAATTGCTTGAGTGCTAATGTTAAGATATTTTTTCAGCGGGTACCATCGCAAGTGAATGTGTGCAGGAATAATATTTTAGATGGTCTGGCCCTTGAGGGCAACCTTAAGGATTCTACATATGGGGGCTGTCTTACTTTTTCAGAAATTGATACACTGGTCAAACAAGATATCAGTTCCTTTTGGAGGTAGCCCCCGTGCATGAGTAGTATGAAGGGAACCGACCTGGTGCTGCTTTGATTAGGACAAGAAGCAGGAACGATTCTTACTAGGCTTCGCAATGGCATGTGACAGGACCAAAACCTGACTCTGTTTGTTATTGTTGCGTATGTCCATGTCCAGCCAAGCTAAACCAAGTTCTTTATTTCACTCACTGTCAAAAAGTCCAACACCATTAAAGAGTATTCGTAAATATCTTGTTTTGTAAACCCCAGGCAGTCAAGAATGTGTTATGGAGATTCCTGGCAGGCAAAACACCGATCACAAGTCAGAAGAACTTTGTTTCTATCCTCAAAAGTCAAAGTTGGGAAGGACCACTCCGGAAACGAGTTAGAACAGTTTGTTCCTGTCTGATGCATTGAAAGGAAAGAGAACCACTAGGGCTTCACAACTGTGATGAGCAGGAGGAATAGTTGATTGCTTGTTGTGTTGATGTAGGAGGAGTGCAATTCTGAATAGATGAGAGAGCCAGAGTCCTTAACCCGCGGTCACTCGCGCCTGTTTTTGCTACCGTCGTTACTCGCGGGGTGTGTAGAGAACACCCCAAACTTTTAACACGTGTATTTAATTACGAAAATAAAATTAAGTCATTATGATACATATTTATGAAGTACAAGATTTTTTTTGTATTATACAAATAAATTTATTAAATTTATTGCATACAAATGAGACTAACATTAATTTAAACTAAACACAAAATTTTTATATATTTTAAAACACATAATTTTATATTTTTTCATAAACCAGTATATAAAACGTATATACCAGTAACAAATACATTTTATAATTAATGAGATAATGATTGTAGAAAGTAGAAAAGTAATATTTCAATCATTTTCCAAACATTCAGACAAACCCCAGATAAACTTTTGAAGGTCATTACATTCCAATCATTCGAGAAAGAGAGATTGCATCAAGCCTGAAGGTTCAATGACCTAAAACGTGCAGCTACAGAAAAAATTGTGGTTCTGTGCATTCTTTTTAGAATCCTGGGAAGATTTTCTTGCTGCTGGGGTGTACAGAACACCCCGCGCGAGTGATCGCGGGTTAATGGGTTGAGCTGCGCCATCTTTCACCCCCTCAAGTCCTGCAGTTTGCCTCAAAGTGGAGAGGGGTGTACACCGGGAGATTTTTTTCTCCTGGCAGAGCCGCACTTGCAGTTCTTAGCTGGCGTGAAGGCCATTCTACTATGTCCAACTGAGAACTACAGATGAAGGAGCTGAGTCAGCTTTCTACCTCTTGGTTCTCTGGCCTTTGCTGATGACAGAGATGCTGCACTTTTTTCTCCATTTATAACTTCTTATCTTTCTTGTCTGAATTGCAATGTGTCCCAAGCCGCTCTTGCCCACATCTTGGTTTGTATTGGTTGCCATAAGAGCCAGATGTTCTCAAGTCCTGCTACAGATCTTCAGTGTTTAAAAACGCATGGGTTTATGTAAAAATGAGATGTTAAATTTGTAGCGGATGACACTGGGTGTTAATACATATTTTTCAAATAATAATTCATTAATTAAATTTTTTAAAAAATGAATAAGTAGTAACAAACAAAAATAATAGTCCAACACCATATATACAAGAAAATTGTGCGCTGTGTCCCTGTAGCGCAATGGATGGCGCGTTGAACTTCCAATCCAAAGGTTGTGGATTCGAAAACCACCCGAGATGGACTAATTTCTGAGAATGTGATTTCTTTTTTACTGTACTATTTTGGTAGAATAATTAAATTTAATGAATAAACAAATAGTAACAAACAAACAAAAATAGTCCGCCATATATAAAATGGAAAATTGCAAGGAAAATCACTTTCTATTTTGTCACTTAATATTGGCATTCTGTACTATGTATAGACATATTTTTATTAATTGTAACTATTTAATAAAAAGTAAGTAAAATAAAATGTTTCTTTGTTGTCCTATGTAGGAATTGACTTTTTTTTTATATTACTTGTCTCGTTTGAAAAAAGGCGAAGTCTTATATTAAATCTAAGGCATTCTTGTACTCCCCTATAAATATCTATTATATAAATATATCTTTTCCCATAGCAACATATTTTAGATTTCTTTTTCCAAAATAATACTCCTTCGACAAACTCAGTGCGACATACTAAAAAAAAAAAACAATATCACAGCCTCGCTTTCACCATAGACTGGCTCTAATTTATCTTTATAATAGTTAACTTAAAGCGTCAACATCTTTTTAACTTATAGTTCTTCTTCAAGAGGAAAAAAAACCTCCCAATTTGAAAACAGTGATCAACTACTCTAAGGTAAAAGTCTGAAACATCCATTACCTCTGGTTTTCTCGCTCTCCAAAATATAAAAAGACCCTCTTCTCTTTTCCCAATGGCACTAAGCACTCAATTCTACTGGCGAAAAGTATTAGTACTGAGTATCTGGTATCTTTTTTATTAAAGCTCAAGTCCCGACGCTTTACTGAAGGTGAAGTTTTTGATTTTTATATATTTCCCAAGTATGTCTGCCTCAATGTTTGGTGGAAAAGCCAATTTTTATCCACTTGTTTTGTTGTCTTTGACTTTTATTAAACAAAGTATTTCGTAAAAAGGACTTTAGTTGCATCCATTGCCTGTTGGAAATGTTTTTCTGTGTTATTTATTTCTTTAAATATTGTTTTCTGAATCATATAGGGTTTTAGGAAACTATAGAATGGAGAAAATGTTGCCTTGTTGTCCTATTGAATTAAATATTATTAAAAGAGTTTATTTCGATGTGATTTCATAAATTCAAATCTTAAAAGATCCAATTTCTGCATTACCGTAACATGAAAGAAACATTCATTTAATTCTTTATTTAGAAAATGTTATATTTAGAATCATAGCCTTACAAAATTGTGTGCTCTATAGCTAATATTTAAAGTTTAAATAAAAAAAGGGGGCTGTTTTGAAATTGATACGCTAATAAAATATTTCTTACGAGTATTAAAATATTAAATTTACCGGTAAAAAAAGATATGTCATTCTTTATTAATATTCAGTTATATAGTTATACGTCTAACAATAGCCGATATAAAACTTTATTTTCAAAATTTAATTACTCTGGATACGTTTTTAGATAATTTCATTCAGTACTCTATATTACAAAAAGTATTATTTCTGTGACTTTTTAGTATTAAACACTTAGAAATACTTTAGAATTTATATTAATAGATAATTTAAGAAAATGCCGTAAGTACGGAAATAGTTAGTGACGCTTATTGCTGTGCCGATTGCTCAGTTTTCGAACCGCGGAGAAGGCATGGATGTTTGTAAATGTATAATGCCTATGCGGCATGGTGGTACTCTAATTATAAGGGAAGCCGAAAGTTCTCTCGAGGGTCTGGAGGAAGGTGGGTAGGAGATCCCTGGATCACCCCAGGGAATTCTTCCTCAGAAATAGAGTGGAACGAAGCCAAAACGTACCGTTATCTGCATGGGGATCAAAAAGCTGCGGCATAACTGCAGAGATTATCTAGTCGTCTTGGCACGAAGTATTTCTTTGACTTCGACCTGACCACTGTCAATCAGGTGGTTTTACTATAAAAACATTTTAATATCCGTAAGGAAATATTTTTAAACGCAATCCAGTTTAAATTTTTACATTTATTATTACATATATACCTAAAAATTAAGCTAATTTTATTTGCAATAATTTTTTTTTTCTGTTAATAAAAACTTTTCATTCATTTTGCTAATGTTATAAAATATACGTTATACTTTTTTTTCCACCTGTGTGTATCAACACATAAAATAATTTACTATTAACCCACGATCCCTCGCGCGGGGTGTTCTGTACACCCCAGGAACAAGAAAATACTCCCAGGATTTTAAAAAGAATGCGCAGAACCCCAATTTTTTCTGTAGCTGCACATTTTACGTTATTGAACCTTCAGGCCTGATGCAATCCTTCTTTCTCGAACGTTTGGAATGTAATGACCTTCAAAAGTTTATCTGGAGAGGTGGGAACTCCCGCGAGAAGTTGAGCATATGTATACAGTCTGCTCTGAATGTTCGGAAAATGATTCAAATATTATTTTTCTACTTTCTACAATCATTATCTCATTAATTATAAAGTATATTTATTACTGGTATATACGTTTTATATACTGGTTTATGAAAAAATATAAAATTGTATGTTTTAAAATAAAAATTTTGTATGTTTAGTTTAAATTAATGTTAATCTCATTTGTATGCTAAAAATTTAATAATTTTATTTTTATAATACAAAAACATCTTTTACTTTATAAATATGTATCATAATGACTTAATTTTATTTTCATATTTAAATACACGTGTTAAAATTTTGGGGTGCTCTCTACACCCAGCGAGTAACGATGGTAGCAAAAACTGGTGCATCTCTGTGTGAAACAGTACATTTAATGTAAGCCTTAGAAATAATAAAAAATAAATCTTTACAGTTTTTATCAAATATAACAAATTTTTTTTTTTGCATCTTAAATGTGCATTAGGTCTTATTAATTACCAAAATGACATAGTTCAGATTTATGTTCATAGTTAAAATTTGTATCCTTTATTATTTTTCTGAATTTTAAATGTTGATAGTTGCAGCGTTCAAATATTTCGTAATGAACTTGTTTAATTTAACATTATAATTAAGATAAATGCAGTACAACTTTCAGAATCAGAACACTCGATGAATACTAGAAAATGTGCCTTGAAATCCAAATGCTGTTTTTAGAATTCAAACATCCATTAGAGATCTACAAAGAGATGAAAAATTCGAGAGTTACAGACAAAAAGTGAAACGTGGCAGGTCGGAAATTGCTGGCTAAAAGTATTAAAACCAATTTATGGAAGAAAATGGAGGTACATCCTTCCCTGATGGCTCCCAAGAAGATACCAAAGTGCCCAACAAGCCTTCTCCATTATTTTTATAATATGTCGATCGACCCAATTTCGTTGGTAACTGTACAACAGCAATTACAGAAGTTCTAACTTTTTCAGCTTTTAAAAAATACACCCAGAAAATCTCACCGTTGATTTCTCTTTAAGGTATCAGACTACGTTCGGAACCATGATTTAAAAAAAAAGGGCATAAATGGATAATTTTCATGATATTTAGTGCCACTTAGATTAGAATACATGTATAAAATAGTTTTAATAACATAATGACGAAACAAATTATTTAAATACAATATTTTGGCAAAAAATTAACTTAGAGTAACCTTTTTTTTTTCAAAACGTTCTCCTTTTATAAAAAAAAAATGCTTCTGCAATAATAATATTTTGCTTATATAAAGTAAAGACTTCTTCAGAGAGTCAGAACTTAGGTTTTTTTTAAAAATTAATTTTTTTTTCAGTTTTCCCACCCTTTTAAAAAATTTCCGGTTTTTTTTTTTTTTCCTAAAATTCTTGTTCTGTTGTCGTAAAATATGGATAAATACACTTCTAAGTTAAATATTTCAAAAATTCTAGTTCAGCCTCTGTACAGAAGTCTAAGATATATACAGGCAGCATATTATTATAATAGAAGCATTTTTCATAAAAGGAGAATATTTTGAATATCGGTCATTCTAGGTTCATTTTTTGTCAAAATATTGTACTTAAATAATTTTTTATTGTAATATTATTCTTAAAACAATTTTATATACGTTTTCTAATTTAATTAGTTTCATTCTGCTCTTTATGCATCTCTGCATTGATGGTTCCACCGAAACCCTACTGTGTAAAGCGGCTAATGCACATAAAATCTATCAAAATTCAGCATTCTGCCGTTGGCGTAATGTATAAGTTTGTGGAGGAGGGTGCAAATTCAGGTGCACCCTTATCACGTGATGGTAATTCTACTTTACGAGATCCTTCAACAACTTTCGTGTAGCTTCTTTCGAGATGGGACATCAACAAAAAATCTCTCCCTGCAATGGATATGCTACACCCACAATATTTCTGCCAAAATACAGGGTTTTCTATAAATTTGTTGGCCAAAAAATGATTTATTAAACATAAATTACAGAGAAAAAAAATCAAAGCACAATTGTTGTAAGAAAGAGAAATAGTCCACAAGTTTAACCTTATCACAATTTCTCGATGTAGCTCCCCTTAGTTACTTAGCTAATTCCCCATTGCCAAATGAGTTCTTTCCACAGGTTTATCAGCAGGTTTCTATCGATCCCATTGATGTTAGCTTAATTTATTCCTGGAATGGATGTGGGAAATGACGGAGTGAACACTTGATCCTTTAAAAAAAACCATACACTGAAATTCAGGGATAAAGGATCTGCTGATCATGATGGTCGTTGAATAACACCTCCCCGACCAATCCACCTTTCAGGGGGCTCACCTTCTTTAAGAGGGTACGGTGTCACAATCCCGAGGTTCCCAAGGGGCTTACTATCTTTGGTAAATACGGGTGTCACAACCCCGGGGTACCCCAGTGATCCTTCTCTATTTTCGACCTTCCATCTTGTCATCCAATTTCTCCTTTTTTTTCTTTTCCCGTCCAGAACAGACCTATGAATGTTTGGTTCAGTATAGCCAAAACTGGCTCTTGCGCCATAAAACACCAAACTCACTCACTCACCCCGACCAATCCAAACTGGTAACTCAGCATTGAGGTAAGACGTAACGTCGTTGTGGTAATGACGAGGCTCGCCATCCTGTTGAAAAATGTAAACTCCTGGGATTGTTTCATTATTGATTGGAACAATGCAAA